AATAACCGTAAAAATTGCATATATCTTTCATAGTTATACCAATCATCATCATACAAAGCATTTTGTGGAAATTTTTGGTTGTAAAATAATGTTAAGGGATTCTTGTACTCAATTGCCTTTGTTAACATGTCATAGGTGGAATTCCACCTAGTTGGGCAATCGGTTTTAATTTTTATTACCCTTATCTTTTGTTGTTTTAGAAAACTCTTCCATTCTTGGTATCTCATGTTAGAGCTATTAATAGACATAATAGCATCTCTGATTTTGCTGTAGTATGGGCCAATTGCCCGAACTCCATCCTGTACACATAAGTTAAGTACATGGCAAACACATCTAGTATGAAGAGCTTCATCGTCTAATAGTACATCGGTTAAGTTTTGTTTGAAAAGATTAGCTGTATATGTCATAGAGGTTGCATTGTCAAAAGTCATTGACATCATTTTATCTCGAAGGTTATATTCGTGCATTGCTTCCATTAAATGGTGAGCAATGTTAATGCCGGTGTGTGGGTATTCGAGCATTTTGAAATGTATTATTCTTTTTTGTAACATCCATTGATCATCTATCCAATGGTAAGTGACACATAAATAGTGATATTTATAACCACTATCCCAAGAATCGGCTGTTAAAGATACTCTACAGTTAAGGTTACTCAATTCGGCTTTTAACCGGACTTTGTACTCTGGGAAGTTTTTCATTGCGGCGGAACGAACGGTTTTCCTAGAGATTCTTTTATGTTGGGGTTGTAGTGCTTTGTTAATGTAGGTGTTGAATGGGTCACTTTCCGAGAAAATAAAAGGTTGTTCGGCGTGTACTATCATTTTTCCTAGTTCATTCCTATCCCTCTCATAGTTGTAGGTAAAGCCGTATGGATGGTATTGGGAAATTTTTGGCTGGGTTGGATCACTAGCTGGTTTTGCACAAGCTTTCATGTGTCTACTTAAGTGTCCCGTCCCGGATTTGGATACTACCGAGAATACACCATTACATGTTTTACATTTTGCATATGTTTGGCCGTGTTTATTTAGGACGAAATGACGCCATGCCTCACTCCTTCGGTTTTTCAAAAGTACCATCTCACTTTCGGTTAACCATTCATAATGTGTGTTTGGGTTAGTAGTAGTAGTAGAAGGGGTAGAACCGGAGGGAATTTGGGTACTTTCTTGGCAACTTTGGCTAGAATAATAGTTTTGTTGATCACCAAAATAATTAGGTGGGAATTGACCGAATTGTGGGAATTGTTGTGGATTTTGAAATTGGTTTGATGGTGAAAATTGGTTTGGTGGTGGTGATGGAAATTGGTTTGGTGGTGGTGGTGGAAATCCCGACATATTATAGGGTTGAAAATCGGAACTACCATCGTGCCTATATGGCTCATAGCCCGGGGGGGAGTAAGTGGGGTCATTGGTTGGACTCGGAATTTGGGGGCTCGTTGTATTAGGTGGTTCCCTAGGACTACTACTACGGGCAAGTCGGCCTTTCCCCCTAGACCTAGATGATGGGTTGTTCGATGCCATAATTAACAATTAATTTTTTAATAAAAAGTGGTTAACTATAATAATAATAATTAATAACAACAATTTTAACAATAAAAATAACAATAATAATAATTAATAACAACAACTATAACAATAACAATAACAACAAAAATAAATAATAACAATAATTGTAACAATAATAATAATTAATAACAACAATTATAACAACAACAATAACAATTAACAACAATAATAATTAAACAAGACTATTCTAATAATAACAATAAAACGATAATAAATTAAAGATTAATTTAGATCTTACAACCGTGCTTCAACGCTCCACTAATTACGATTACGAACTTTTTAATTTTTTCCAATATTAGGAAAATAATTAGAGAATTTAAGAGAATAAGGATTTATTAAGATAATTTAAGAGATTTAGAGAATATAAGAGATTAAGAGATAAGAAGAAGAGATTGTGATTTTGTGATTTGGGAATGAAATGAAGGTGGGTATTTATAGAATTTTTGGGGAGGTAATTGCCCAAAAACTAGCCGTTAACTAGCCGTTAATGGCAGTTTTAAAACGGTAATATTACCGTTTTTTGGTTTGGGCACGCGAGCCGTGCCGGGCCGGCACGAACGTCGTGCCTGCGTGCCTGGTCGCGTGCCGGGCTAGGTGTTCGTACCACGTGCCGGGCCGACATGCCTGCGTGCCTGGCCGTGCTCGTGTCGGGCCATGCTTGGAATCGCTGAACCTTGTCCATGGCACGGCCCGTGGCACGAATCTTGACTTGCGTGCCGTGTCGGGCTGGGGAACGGGCCGTGCCGTGCTCCGTCAAAGGGCGGGCCGTGTCGGGCGGCACGCGGGCCACCCCAGCCCGTGCCCAGGTTTAGTTGCGCGCTCGCGCCCATGAAGAGCGCCTGCGCAAGGTAGGCGCGGCCGCGCAGAGTGCGCGCCTAAACCGCGCACCTCTCTGGAAATCGGCAAATTGGAAGGGTGTGGTTGGCGCGCCCGCGCTGCTGGTCGCGCTTAAACCGCGCCCCTCACTGCCTTCTTCTGGAATCTCGCAGATTTTGGGAGGCGCGCCCGCGCCTCTTATGTCACGCCCGCGCCTCCTTGTTTTGCGGTTTTTCCTGACGGTTGAGTCTTTTATTAAAAGACAAGTTTTGTGAAAGAAATATACAGAAGTTGATTCTTCATCTTTCTAAAAAAGAATTCTCCACATTTTCTCTCAAATTTTTTGCAAAATTTTGTGAGAAAAACTCTTTCAATTAATCCAATTTTGGTGAATTTGTCATCTTTATTTCGATTCTTAGTGCAAAGAACAAAATTGCTGTCAATTGTATCTTAAAGAGGATTTCCAGTTTAACCCAAGCACCGTGTGGGGGAAATAAACCTCTTTAGGAAAGTGTTTACACGCCTTTGACAGTGTATCAAGGTACTAGTCTTACGGGACATCGGTTGTTCTCATGTTCATGCTTGGAATTAACGGCTTAGAGGAAAGGCAAGTTTTGATCATCTTCACAGTAGTGTAATCTTTGTAATTTTTCAGTAATTTCTTAGATATATTTAATACTTGATTGTGATACATTGAATTGTATTTGATATTTACAATTATATTGTAATCATATTTTAGGATTTGTTCCACACATTGTTTTAAGTGTAATCCTAACAATTCTTCCTCTCCCATTGCCACTTGTAGCTTGTTGATTGATTTAACATTTTATTTTGTTTTTTATTAAAATAAAATAGGGTAAATGCAAATCTCCCACATTGATTGAGAATGGAAAATTAAGGTTCATTTCCCTATATATACCCAAGTTTTGGGGATTTGGGAGAACACTTGAGTGGAACTAAAAAGGCATCTTCTTAAAAATTAAAAGTGAGAAAATCTTAAGTTCGTAATACTCTAATTTTTATTGGTCAAGTCCCGACTAACCTTCCGGACTAAGACCTTTCGGGTCGGGTCGAGGGTGCGAGCCGTAGGAGGCTGTCGCACTTGCGAGGCTCGGGCTTTGAAGTAAGAGCTCGTGAATCGAGCGAAGCACTCGTCAAGGGTTAGAATATCTTTTCTCTTTCTCTCTTTTATGTTGTTAATTATGTGATTAAATATTTAGTTGCTTTAATTAGTGAGCGGGTCTTGGGCGGGTTTCTCTTCTGCGTAGCGTTAGACGCTACGAAACCCAACATTAAAAGTCCATCGCTCATATCAGCAACAGGAAAAAAAAATTTCGTCTCTAAATTTAGCAACGGAAAAAAATCCGTTTCTAATTTAGCAACGGTAAAAAAATCCGATTCTAATTTAGAGACGAATTTTCAATTCAGCTTCTAATTTAAAGACAGATTTTTTAATTCCGTCTCTAATTTAGATACGGATTTTTTTAATTCCGTTTCTTAATTAATTTAGAGACGGATTTTTTAACTCCGTCTCTAATTTAGAAACGGATTGAATTCTGTCGCTAGAATTCCGTTTCTATATGGACATTTTTTTTTGTAGTGCTTTAATCCCTCTAACACCACATAAGAGAAAAATTTTATTCAAATGCTTACTTCATTAGTTCGTTACTTGTATCATATATAAACAACAATACAAGAATTACAACCCCAGCTTTTCACTCTCTTCCTATCTTTCTTCTTGTGCAAATAGTGTTTGCCAACAATATTAAACACTAGGGCTACCAATGTACTCAACACTAGGGCTACCAATGTACTCATTTACTAGCATGATGCGATTGAATTTAAAAGCTTGATAATTTGATATCTATAATCTATACCTTGTGACCTAATCCATATGCTAGCATGTTGTTAATTAATTTCCAAAAGCCATGTCAATGTCATATATCTTTTCTTGCATCAATCACTATTCACTCACATAAACAATGCATTCATTGTGCAACATAAGAACAGCGCAAATAAGGGCTCCAAATTATTCCTTTGCTTTTTGATGTCGAATTTCATTAAAAAAAAATTAAATCTATTATTTTGCCTGGTAGATCGGAAAACCCGACTCTACGAAGATAAGAAAGCAGGAAAAAAAAAATTGATTCGAACCTTATTAAAATTATTAGGGAATGTCTTATTGACCTATAACCAATATAGAGTACTAGTATTTGAAAAAGCAATCTTATTATACGAAAATCAAAAAATTGTATAATTAATAGAACCATTGTCTGACTCTCATAAGGTTGGCTCAATTACAAATTATATTTAGCATAGATCAAATTGGCTCATCTCGATATTTTTCAACAATGAAAACTTTGACATTTTTAGGGTTTACCACCAAGTGTTCAATGAGTTGCATCAAAAAAGTCTCATAGTTACCTTTTCCCCAATGAGATCTCTCATTTCAAGATCTATCCCATGACCTTTCGCCTTATATTCATTCCACATTATACATCCTTACATATTGGAAGACATGACTCCACATACTCAACAACGCCAAGAGTGATCATCAGGGTCATTTGCAGAACCCTCATTAAGCTAAGGCATGCACGTTCAACCTCAAGAACACCAACTAGCACTTTAACGAGCTATTCAAAATATTCAGATTGCGGCAAGTGATAATCTACCACCATTAATCCAATCAAAGGAATTTGGATAGTCCTCACGCTATCGAAGACACACACTATCTCCTTACTTACATTTGGAGATTGGAAGTATTTATCATATCTATTGGGAAGCAAATCGCACATTTGATTGGATCATTAACATAGTTCATTTATTAAATGAGTATGAATATTGTTTGTAATAACCCTTTGCAAAAAAAAAAAAAAAAAAAAAAAAAAAAAAAAATTATGAGTTGGATACTTGAACAATTTCTCCAAAACCCGACCCAACCCATAATTAGCTCTAAAATTGTCAATTTATCCAACCTCCAAAAGGCCCAAATCAAATCATCAAGATCCAAAATTACGTAGTACAAAATCATGCTTCATCCAATTATTGAAGGGCAAATTTGCCATTTCATATTACCAAAAATGGCTTCCTCTCTTTCAGTTCAGTGTTCATGGACCTTGCGCTGAAACCTGTGTGATTCTCTCTCCTCCACTCTCTCTCTCTCTAACTTTCTCTCTCTGAACCTGAAATTCGATCTTCATCAATTTCACAGCAAAAAAACCCTAATTTTTCTGGGTTGAATAACGAATAGAGAGAAAAATGCAAAGAAAAGGATCAAATCAAAGGTTATCATCTTCAAGTAGCAGTAATAATACGCTGCTTCGATCTCGAATTTCATTTCTTATGCTCACCATGTTAGCCACCATTGCTTCGTTCTATGTCGCCGGAAGGTTCGTCATTTCATTGCTTTTTGTTGTAATTTTTTTCGATTCTATTGTTTTGATTTTTTTTTTTTGGTGATGACTGTTGTATTAATTTTTGGGATGATCGATTGTTAATGTGATTGGAAATTGAATTAGATCTTATACTCGAGAGCATGATGCGCATTGTACTGTCGAAAGCTAAAAATCAAAGAACATATCTGATCTTTGTTTTGCATAATTTGCAGTAGAGTAGTTGGGAAATGTTGAGTTTAGGTTATTACTAGAAAAATTGCTGAAATTAGAGATTTTTCTTGAAATGGAGTGTGATCGTCTATTTGATTTTAAGTTGAACATTTGTATGTTTCAGAAAATCAATTTGAAGTTTTGAACATTTGTTAAATGAACTTGCATATAACGATATTGTATAATTAAAAAATAAAAATAAAAATGAATCTGAATGTTGTACATAATGAATACGAATGTTGTACACAGTGAATCACTGGTACATGGGTGCATAATACTCCCTCGGATTTTAGCTAATAGGCCACATTTCTAACCGTGTTTTGGTTTTTCCGAAATACTATTCAGTCTCTGAATTGAGTTTAGAAAACTTAAAGCTTGTCCGTATTACATTAATGATAATCTTAAGAAAAGAATACCTTGTGATATGGTAAAGATGATGGAGTGTGGTCTATTATATAGGGGCAAAGGGAGCATAATATGGTTCAGGGGTGAAGAAGGAACTCTCTTCAAGTTCCACAGTTTGTACAGGAGTGTATATGGAGTGTAATGCCATCTTCGTGTAATCTGCTTAACTAATTAATATGGTTTATAAATTAAACACTTTTGCTAAGTGGTCACCTTCCTTGAAAGGTATTTTATCAAAAAAATTCTTTCAACAAATATAGGCTTAAAGTTTTGGTTTGAAAAAGAAAACTCTTTTTGATTGGAGAGAAGTTGAATTCTTCTGAAGGTTGGAAAAAAAGTTTTTATGTCCATAATCCTTCTTCAATGCTGAATGAATGCGTCCATACTCCATAGTCCCCAAACAAATTGTAGAATGAAGGCTATGTTCAAGTTAGCTCATCTAAGCAAATACAGTATCTGCTTATTTAAGGAATTATGAGATTATATCACGCTCAATCTTTTATTGTGTTTACTTATCGGCTTATCGCTACATATATTTAATTTAAATTTTTTTTATGAAAATGTCATGTTTGGAAAGTACACATCAATACAGATCCAATGACACCTTAGTTGGCAATATTGGATCTTAAGGATTAGTGTACAGTATCTGCTTATTTAAGGAATTATCAGATTATATCACGCTCAATCTTTTATGGTGTTTACTTATCGGCTTATCGCTACATATATTTAATTTTAAAATTTTTATGAAAATGTCATGTTTGGAAAGTACTCATTAATACAGATCCAATGACACCTCAGTGGGCAATATCCTATCTTAAGGATTAGTGTACAAATAAAGTCAAAGTTTAGTGAAATTTGGAAATTAGATCAGATAAGACTGATTCTATTTAGATCAAGTGAACTGAACATGGCCGTAGTCATAATGCTTGACCAAAGTAAGATTCTAGTAATAAAGTTGATGTATCTATAAGGTAAAGGCTAAGAGAAGATGTCTATGATAGAAATTAGCTGAGAGTATGTCCCTCTTCCAATCGGATGAGACATTAGCTGTTAACTCTTTGATTTTGTGGTTTTAGTTATTGATATTGACTTCTTATGGTTTGATCCACGTTGATTAACTGTTTCTGTGACAGGTTGTGGCAGGATGCACAGAATAGGGTTTATATCATTAATGAGCTTGACAAAATAACAGGTCAAGTAAGTTTAATACTCTGTACGATTCATTTACTTTATGTTGAACAATTTATATACTTCATATTTATGTGCTTATGTTATATATCATGCAGTAGAGTGATTATTGGTCCAAATTTGTGCACAAATGAACTTTCCTAGCCAATAAAAGGATCCATATGTGCTGGTGGTTAATAGTAATAGTAAATGTAGTCTTATTGCCAATTAACTACTTGTAGTTTAATTAAATTCCACAATACTTTCTTCTGCATCATCTCTCTATCTGATATTAAGGTATTGCAGTACCTGATGGTTCTTCCTGCTCTGATCTCCCGTGTAAATGGAATTATCGTCTGTCTCTCATTTGTGCAAGATATATAATCGGATGAATGTGCTTCTTTTGACAGGGGCGAAGTGCCATTTCAGTTGATGATTCACTGAAAGTCATAGCCTGCAGGTGATTTATATTCATCTTGGCCTTATAACATTTAACTTTATCTTATTGTGATTAAGGTTTCCTTTTCAAGTTTCAACATTAAAAATTCTGGTTGTTAGGGAACAACAGAAGAAACTCTCAGCTCTTCAGATGGAATTGGCTGCTGCTAAAGAAGAAGGTTTTGTTCCAAAACGTTATGGGATTGACAAGGATAAACCTAAAAAAAGGCCGCTGGTTATAATAGGGATATTGACAAGTTTTGGCCGCAAAAATAAGAGAGATGCGGTTCGCAAAGCATGGATGGGAACAGGTAAAAGTTGTTAACATAATAGGAATATTTCAAGTGGAATGTTGTAGTAAGGTACTAAGGTCTTGAGATTGGGGTTATGATTTTAACTATTAGAATGATTTGTATTGGAATTAAAGCCAATGGTGGGTGCATAATTAAATGGTATATGAATTAATCTCCTGAGGCTTAGTGCTTGACATTATAGAACATTCACCACAAAATGCTTGCCTGTTAACTTGCTATCTTCTGTCGAAATCATGGTCCTTGTGTATCTTTAATCTTATAACTTATGTTTGAATAGTTGATATATTGGCCTTTATCTTTTTTCAGTATGTTATTAGCTTCACTACTTTGATTATATGAATATCTCTTCCTTTGGGATGTGGTGATTTCTTTCTTGGCCTTTTTCTTGGCTGATTAATGCGATGTTGTATAGGTGCTGCTTTGAAGATGATGGAGAATGAGAAGGGAATTGTTGCTCGGTTTGTTGTTGGAAGAAGGTGTTCACTTGTTCATTTTTACCTTATTTGATTTGTCAATGATTGATAAAGAACTGATTTTATTTTATTTTATTTTTGATTTGCAGCGAAAATCGTGGAGATAGTCTAGACTTGGAGATTGACATTGAGAACAGACAGAACAATGATTTCATTATCCTTGTATGTATCCGACATTTAGAAACTTAATCAAACTCCATTCTCATTCCCTTATGTTTGATTAAAATTCTGATGTTTGGCTTCTGGAGTTGCTCTCTTCTTTTTTTTTTTTTTTTCTTTTTTTTTTTTTTTACCACATTATTAAATTATCACAGAATATTGAGTGGATTTTCAGTGAGGGGGTTGGAATTAAATGATAAAATTCATAATGGCAGCAAACATACCTAGAAGAATAACATCGAACCACTTATAAGGTGTATGTTATATGTTAATTGATTCAGATGTTCTGGAAAAAATTATGTCCTGTAGGTAACATTATGTCCTCTGTCTTATTAGTGCCATGCTTGGTATAAGATAATTGAAATAGGGGGAAACAGAATCGATTAGGGACTATATTAAGGGGTAGTAAATGCGTGGAGGTGGTGGTGTTAAAAGTTAGCACAGGGTGAGTGGGTGGAGGAACCTATTACCCCTATCTTGTAGTAAATTAATATTCTAAGATGAGGCAGGGGAACCTATTATCCCTGTTTGGGGTGATCTATCATCCTCAACCATTTTACATAACAGTTAGCCTCCTGTATTAGTTTCCGTGACAGATATTACCCCCTAATTGATTTGTTGTTCCACCTAAGTAGTACATAACTTGTATATATGTGAACAACCTTATTAACTTTCTTGGATACTATTTATTGATTTGGAGTTTACACTTCATGTTTACAGAATGACCATGTGGAGACTTCCAAACAGCTACCAAAAAAGACAATGTATTTTTTCGCTTATGCTTCCAATTGGGAAGCAGAATTTTACGCAAAGGTCAATGATGACGTGTATGTTAATGTTGGTAAGTACAAATGACCCCACCACCCCCACCCCATCTCCCTCCCAAAATGTGTGAAAATGTGCCTGTTGAAGCTCAGTGCCAATTTCTTATTTACTGAATTGCACATTAATAGCCATGGTTCTGTTTATAACTTGGACCTTAGCTTTGTTCTTTATTGATCAAGCATTCCCCAATCCCAAATTTCAGTTTTGAAAGGTCAAGGAGACTGGTTAAACTCGTGATCAAAGATGCCTTGAAGGTTATAACTTTGACTTGATTTTCTCAAGACAAATGTAAAGGGAGCCCCTCGAGATCATTTTGTTTTTTCTATAGAGTTTTAGAGCCCAAATTTATACTTATAGTAGTTTAGTTTTACTCTGTTATCTTGGTGAAATTTAAAATACACATTCTGGTTTATTTCTTCGTTTTTGCCCTTTTTGGTCATTTAGTCAGTAAGTTATAAATAACTTTTCGCATAATGAGTTTTCCTTCTTAGTAGTTTTATTGACCTTGTTGAATGACTTGCATGTTAAATCATTTATATTCTGAAGGCATGATAATTTATTTATTTTAATAAATAATTAAATAAAAAAACCACCATCCTATATTGTATAGGTCCTTAGTTCGATTACTCCCATATTTCACCTAATCTTCCCCTGGATCAGATAATTTAATCAGTATTCATAACTTCCTTCTTTACAGATGCTCTGGGAAATACTCTTGCAGCTCATGTGGATAAGCCTCGTGTTTATATGGGATGTATGAAGTCTGGTGAAGTTTTCTCTGAACCGTGAGTAAATTCAAAAGCATAGTATGATGAAAGCTGAACTATTTGAATGTAACTTAATTAATATTAAGATTTCATAAATGCTTGCTCTTCCAGGAACCAAAAATGGTATGAGCCAGAGTGGTGGAAATTTGGTGATGGAAAATCGTAAGTACAGAAAATAACTCAATTTCTTAGCTTGATAAATTGTTTGCATTCTAAGGAGAGAGGGGAACTTTATTACTTCTTATTCTTAATAGTCCAGTTTCGCTGCCATTTCACTTCATATACTGGTGAAGCCTGGCTATATATATTCTCTTGCTTCTTCTTTAACACTATTTTACCATGCAACGTGTGACATTTAGTGTTTTCTACTCTAGTGTAGACCCTGTATCTTCTTGAGCAGAATTTAAACCATTTTTTTTTTTCAAAGTATGGCGATAATATTAGGACATCTTTACCAAATTCCCTCAACACAAATCCAAACAATGGAACTTCTGTTTGATTTCCGTAACTATATGTGAAGCTGTATTTGATCATCATTTTACATGTAGTGGCTACAACACCCCCCCACCCCCCGATCTTGATTCATAGCCTTCACAAGTCACGCTACCTTATAAATTTGCCTCTCCTCATGCTTGTCATCTTATGTCCAAACAGGTACTTTCGTCATGCTTCTGGTGAAATATTTGTCATATCACATGCGCTTGCAAAATTTGTCTCGATAAATAGGTGAGTCTGTTCTATGTTTCTACTTTCGTCATTGATTGACCTCAGGCCAAGAGGCTGAACTTTAGTTCCAGATCAACTAGGAACCCAATCTGAACTTCCTAATTGTCATTCCTTATTACAATTGTAAATATGTTGGTGTAGTACATACCATTTATCAGTCTACTACTTCATTGCCTTGGCAGATCTAAGCTCCGCACTTATGCACATGATGATGTCAGTGTTGGTTCCTGGTTTATTGGGCTCGATATCAAACACATTGACGAAAAAAAGTTTTGCTGTTCGTCGTGGGCTTCAGGTCCCTCTCTCATTTCTCTCACACACAACATGCAGACTACTTATATATACATATTGACATTTATGCTTGCATATTAGTTTGATACCAAAGTCCTGGAATACCATTAATGACCTAGTATCTACATTACCCTCTCAATAAATTTCCAGCAATACCAGCAATTTATACAGTTTCGTGTAATTGTACCCTTGGAAAGCTGTCAACAATATTAGAATCCTCAGATATATTAATGCTATCCTGATTTGATACTAAAGTCTCGGTATACCATTTATAACCTAGCATGTTTATTACCCTCTCAATAAAATTCCTGCAATACCGGCAATGTATACAGTTTCATGTAATTGTACCCTTGGAAAGCTGTCAACAAAATTAGAATCCTCATGTATCTACCAATGTTATCCTGAAAACAATAGGTTTTGCATAAGCAGCCTCTATACTTCATTACTTGTCAGGTAAGGTCATCTGCACTCAAAAGGCTCGAAGCACATCTTGACCTTTGGACCCTCTCAGTTAGTTGTTGAATCCACTGCAGATATTGTCATATATTTTTTCCATCATGAAGCAACCAGAATACTGATACTTACAAATCATATTTCATTGTCATTTTCACTTTTTTACAAGAGCCACTGTTTGGTGCATACTTCCACTTCAAAGTCTCTACAATTTTACTGAACATAGTTTCTCTGTATCAGGAGCTATTTGTGCAGGAGTTCGTTGAAGACTTCTAAGTTCTTTTCCTGATTGCAACCTCATGAGGACAGCTACTGATTTCTTCTACAGAGCAAATTTTTTTCTGTTCAAGAGCCATGCCTGGATCCTGGGCCATATACAATACATCAAATATCTTACTTCGCCTTCTTTATACTGTACTAGATACAGTCCGAGTAGATAGCTACAGTGCCTACAGATGAGTAGGAATAGGGAGTGATAGCTAACCACAGCTCGCCTATACATACATCTTGTTTATACTGCAAAACTGATGTTTTAAGGCATCTGTTCTCCTTCTTTCGTAGGAGTCAGGACTGAGGAGCCACGCTATATGCTTGTATTAGATGCGATGTCCTCTTTAAAAACTGAGTTCTGTGTATAAAGCTCATTGTTCTTGTGATGTTTACTTAATGCAAACTAATTTCTCTAATTGCTGGATAGTTTAATGATAATTTTATACAATCTTCCCTAATTGCCTTGTTTAACATCTCTCCCTTAAATCGCCTCATATGATCATTTCAGTATAAAGGACGGATAGATGATTGAGGTTAAAAAGACAGGAAAGTGCTGACTTTGATACAGAAATATGCAAGATCCATCATGAAATACCAAATGTGTTCTGGGATCATTTCAGTATATAGGACAACTGGCTAGATAGAGAGCTCAGTTCTCAAAAAGAAGACATTAAATGATGATCGTGGCTCTGATCTGATACTGACATCACGTATTAATAAATATGAAGTAATAACTTGTAGATTTTCTGGTACAAAGTTCCTCTACACTCTAGCAACATAATGCATTTATACATACAGTATAATGATACTGATATTAAAATTTCTCTTTGGTATACGAGCTGAGAGCAATATGCCAGAAATTGCATCAAGCGCAAGTTGGCTAATTTGTACATCAGAAAGCAGGTTATAAATGGCTGAACCCACAAGAATGCTTTACTGGCAACATGAAAGGAGAATTTTGCAAGAAGCAATGAGGAGCTCTATGACGAACTATTCAGGAAATAAGCCAGAGCTTTATCTGTATCATTGTCATGCATAAGAAGAGCTTCAGCGACACTGTTGGACGCGAACCCCATTTCTCGAAGGAGGGTGTAACCATTCACAAAATCTCGAACCTGCAAGAGAACAGCAAAGTTAATAATGGACCTTAGCAATTAACAGTAAAATGCAAAGACCCACCAGGCCATATAAACACCCAAGAAAGGCGAAGGATTACTCAAATTGTCCCAGGGAACATGAAACAAATAACATATTCAAGGAAAGAGCAGAAGACTGCATCCTCTTGTAGCCTAATTCTACAGACTTGAGCATCATGATTCACTTGTCAAACTAAGAAAACATATATACAGACAATACAGCGCTCCAATCAATTCTAGTTAACAGCAGGTGCTGAAGCACAAATTTCCAGGAACCTAATCCCAAAAAAGTAAAGAAGCAAGTGGACAAGTGCTAATCAAAAACTACCATAATACAGTACATAGATCAGATCCAGAATAGACAAAGCAAGCAAGTATTAACCAGGCTTGTGAAAAAGACAACCATACCCACTCCTAGCCAACACACTTTGGGAATAATGGGGGACAATGAATGTGGGAAGCAAAGTGGCAAATTGGCAATGGTGCTTTAGCAGCATGAGTGCATGACATAGTGAGTTTCTAAATAAGCTAAAAGTTTACAACAAATTATAAAAAACTGGCAAAATCACACCTTAGTAGGATTGTCCCCGAAAGCTGCAACAGCCAAAGGAACTGCTTCTCGGTTAAGGCCTGATGCAACATATTTGCTCACCACGGGATCCGCTGCAGGGGTCTACAAGAGTTGATTACATCCATTTAGATTCCAAAACAACAGATTAATGGAAGCAGGGAGGATAAACCTGACAATGCAAAATTCAACTTCTAGAGACATTAACAAAAAACAGAAATCTGAATAGATGTTCTTATAGCTTATGCCAGAAGAGGGGGAGGAAGACCACATTTTAAAGCAATCATAGATAATACCTTGAGGTTAGAAGTGCCATTTTATGGACATCTTTCAACATACACTAAGCAAGCATTAATATGAATCTCGATTAGCTATTAACTGCAAAAATCACATAAAAACTTAAAAGGCCTGTACGGATTATTAAAGACTAAAATTAATGTTACACAAAGATGGTATGCATGAAATGTTATAAAGAAGCTCAAATCAAAGCACCTAACTGAACACCAAGCAAGGTGCATCAACAAATGTTGCACACACACAGTCCAGACTGGACACAATTTGCACACGCTTCACATATACACTTTTGCTTCTGCCACCTATTTATCCCCAACAATATCAACCTTTTCTTATCCCAGAATGCAGACGATAACATCCAATGTTTCGTCCAGCTCAAATTTTCACTTTTCTGCATCAGCAGTATTGTTGTTGCCTCACTCAGCCACTCATACAGACATACTCCACTTTCAGCCTCCAGTAGCAAAAACATGTCTATCTCCTCCTTCCCCTCGGAGAAAAGATATTTTTTTAACTATCACCAAGTAGCACAATTCCAAAACATAAGTATAAAAAGCAATCCCCCGTAGTGCCAAAGTATCATCATCCAGTTCCCACCAGGGCGTTAAAACACAATATTCTTAAGGTTACCTTATATAAATAATTTTGCAATACTTGATTGTATGCGCACACACACACACACACAAAAAAAAAAAAAATCCAAAAAATTGGAGCCAACAAGTATGATCTAAACTAAGATTGATTTTAAAGCAATAAACATAAAGATCATGAAGTACATAAAAGTATCTATTCTTCTCTGATTCAATATAGGTTGTTTCAGATTATGGCAACAAACTAAAGAGTCCTTAGATGCAGGGAAACTTTGAGACTAAACACAAACAGTGTGAAGGGAGAGATAGTATGATTGATAAAACAGCATTACACATTTCATTAGACAATCTAAACTACAAACAGCAAGAGTACATAAAATTACCGTTGATGGCATGGATTGTGGTGTTCTTGATGGGAAATTTTCAGATGCAAGACGACTCCAATTCTGGTTTTCCTTCTCTGCTTCAGCAAGTATCTTCTTCTCTAAATCAAAATCAAAATGAAATGCACTTCGTGGAATATCTCCCATTTGTGGTAATAATTGAGGCTGTTGGACAGAAAAGCATAAATGGAAAAGGTCAATTCCCAAATATAAGAAAGATAAATACAACAAAATTAGTGACTTCTCCACATGAATAGATCTTATGCTTATTCACTTGCGACCCTTACCATCATCGATAGTTACTATTTAAGTAAGTCTAGATGTCACAGAAATTACAGGCTTGCATGTGAGTTTCATGAAGAGGTACACATCCAAGTGTTTCATACACATACTCTAATAATTTAGAGCTCTAAAAATGTAAGATAATTTTAGACACAAGTATATGGACATGTCACTCTTGAAATTTCATACATTAATAATTATTTTATCATAATTCATAACATAATGAACGTAGAAGAAGAAAGCATACAGCCAATGGGCAAGAAGTAAGATTAAGGGGAGAGGGGTAAAGAAGAAATCTACTAATAAATAGTAATCTGAAACCCTGCCTACTTAAAGACAAAGCCGGTTCTAATACTATAAAAACACAAATACTATATATTCTCCTTTTTTACTTATACATAGCCAAACTTAAACATTCTGTTAAAAAAAAAAAAAAAAAAAAGGGACTTTTCTGGCTCAACATGAAGTGTTAACATTATACACTCGAGTGAGTCAAGTATATAACACGGGAATTTGATGTAACATAAACCACCCCAGTCCATATCTCTCCTCTATCTACGGTTATGTAATCCATAAAATTAGCCTCACACTATCCACCACAACCTCTGATGGCCACTTCTATACACTAGTTGACAACAACTGGCAAGAGTCTCAATCTCCCCTAGCTTAGATGAAACCTGACAAAGTGACGAGCAATATTATTCTAGGCAATGGTCTAAGGAATTACCGAGTTAGAACCATTTATGCCAAAATTGAGCCATTAGAGAAGATAAGTTTAATAAGCTTTCAATCTATACTCTGAACCTAAAAATTAGCTTAGGTTAGTTTCTCCCCTCTCTACCTTCTTCTATAATAACCATATCCATATGCAAGATGGCAGGTCTTGTTAGTAAATGTTAGTAACATGACCATGTCTTGTTAAGGCTTATGCAAGTATAATTTGAAATACTTTTCAGTGCAGCTAATTCTAAGGAGCATGTTAAATTGTTAACAACATGACAATTCCGTAAGCAATCAAGAAATGCATTGTTTCATGTCTGAAACAGCTCTAATTTCATAAATCCAGCTTCACCGCCATCCCTTTGCAGGGAACTATGTTATAGACACCACAGTTAAACATGATACATTATGTTTCACCATCACACCCTATTAATCAGAAATCTCGTATGTCATTTTCTTAACTACGGAGTATATTTCTAGGGTTTCATGTACAGTAAATTTGTCAACCACTATACACCTATCTAATGACATTCAATGGAACTTTGCAAAATATGACAACACGATTAGTAATATATGGAGGAAGAGAAAACACGATGCTTAAAACACACACACACACCCAAGACCCCCAACAGATTGTAATGTCATTAATAATACTTTTTGGAATGACTATGCAAGTGGTGAGACATATGAAAACCTAATCAATTATGATGTAAAATAGAAGTTGAAATCTGGAACTTACAGGAGGAGTTATCCGATATTCTGGCTTAATTTGAACCCTGATACCAGTTCCTGCTGCAAAATTTAACACTCCCATGATGTAAGAACAAAGGTGCATCAAACATCAACATAACTAAGATAGCGGGAATAAATTGGACAAACAAAACTATACAAAATGAACAACCACCCAAAAAGCCAATAACATCAATTGTACATGCTAGTCTACACCTACCTAAACAACTGCTCATTAAATATCACTTTTCATACCCCCAATTGGCACAAGCAATCAACTCAATAACCTTATGTTACTCATATAGTCGCGCGTCTCAAGTACCCGTGTCAAATCTTCAACGCTCATACAAGGCTATGGATACTCTACTTGAACCAAAACAATGTAAAATATTCATAATAACAGCCGAGTCAGACACTTGAACACATACCCGTGTAACATAGCAATAATCCATACCCAGTCACAAAATTCCATTTATCATCACCAAGTTTAAAAATTAATAACCTCAATTCCCACTTCAACAATGCCCAACAAATCAATAACCAGACAACAAAAGGAAAGAAACCCAGAAAACCCCTAATTCACGAATTTTCAAACACCCCACATAAAAACCCAAAATCAAACACAAAACCAGAAGAGGAGAGAGAAAGACTTACAAGAAGAGGGAGGAGGGGCAGAAGATTGGTGATAAGGAGGAGCACGGGCAGGAGGAGGGATGACCGGCTGACCGGGTTGACCGATCTTAGGGTAAAGAGAAGATACATGAGGCGATTGAGAAGAAGAAGAAGAAGGCATCTTTTGGTACATGGGGATGTGGGGATCGTAGGGTGAAACGCCTGCTCTTTGCCTGCTTGAATTGTAATCATACTCCATTGTTGTTCTTCCTCAAGAAATCAAAACCCCAATTTCAAACCCTAATTTCTAAAATTTTGAACAGAAAAGGAGGTGAAGATTGAGAATTAGGGATGAATCATAAGCTGATCTATTTCTACATAAAGTATTATTATTTCATTGGACTTATTTTATTTTTTATTTTTTTTAAGAATTATTTCATTGGACTTGAAACAAATAAGAGTGGAGGAAGTTTCTTACTCCATATTTGTTTTGATTTTGACGGCTGTTCACATAAGAGTGTAATTCTTGTAAAAAAAATTAAAATAAATAAATAAAACATAACAGTATAATTAACTATCTCTCAATTTTGCTTTAAAAAAAAAAAAAACCTATATCTCAATTTCAATCTCATGTTGAGAATTGAACCCTACTAATAACTTCATAAGGGCGGAAGTGAGACCTTCAATTACTAGACAAACTCTAATTCTCATGAAGTGGTACTTAATAGTCTTGGAGAACTATTGTACGCTATTCAATTTGAATTAAATCCACCCTTTAGATACTTTTTTGCTAAAAAAATATTGCAAATCATGCATTGTAACGACCTCCACAAGTCTTTACATAAGAATGTGACTTATATAACATGAATAAAGCCAAACAGATCTATCACAATGGTTGGTCAATTTCAGTATTCTTGTGGTTGTTTATTACAGAGTACTACTTAAATTATATTTGTTATTGTCTATGTAGCATCAAGCCAAATAAAACATAGAGATTGAGTTGCTTTCCCAATAGGTAGTATATTGTATTTTGATAATATTGCGACTTTTAAACAAGTGTTACATGTAACTTAGAACTAGATCTTTCACAAAATTTTGAAAGAAACCATGCATACAAATTAAGTACTAGATAGAGTTGATCAACATTTATCCACCCATAAGGAGTGTCATATACCCATAATTATGCATTTCAACATAATTACATCTTTTTGATTTAGGATTCGACCTCACCGACTCGACCCGAACTATGATCACATTTACTCATTAAGATTGATAAAAATGTTGTATACAAGTAGTTAAGTACATTATTATTCAACGACAATGACATCAAATAAATACTAAAGAATAAAGTAAACGATTTCCTCTATTGAAAAAAATAAATAACTTCCCCTCCATTCAAAAAAAAAATAAAAATAAATAAATAACTTCTCCAAAAAACTTCTATAAGATATACTTCGTATTAGTATACTATGTAATATCTCATGTATTTACACGGGTACGCTCTCGTTAAAGAAAATGGAGAGAATAAAAAAACGAGGGAGATGAGGTGGGAAGAGGGGCAAAGTGGCAAACTAGAAAAGAAGGAACTAGAATATTTAACAAGCAGGAAAACAAAACACGTGTATTGGCATTGACGTGGCTGATAGCCTGGCAAAGTTTTACCTTTTTTTCTTTCTCAATTTCATTCCCCCCTCTTTTCTCGCTTCTGCATCACCATTCACCCCAACGCCATGCCATTTTCTTAATTTTTCTATTAAATCCACCAAATTAAACATAAACCCCATCAAAATTTCCCTCCTTTTTTTTTATACCCAGAAAGAAATAATCATAAAGTTTCCTTCTTTACAACTTAATGGGGTAAAGATTGTATCTTTGACTGATACCCAGAAAAAAAAAAGGGAGAGAATTTGGAGGATTATTTTATACCCAGAAAAAATTAATCATAAAGTTTCCATCTTTAGAATTATAAAAATATATTGGAATTATCTGGGAATTGTACTGTTTTTTTTTTGCTGCATTCAGGTGAATTTGGAGGAATATTGTTGTTTTGGATTCAAAGGTATGTTAATTTACTTAATTTTATAGCTTTTTCAATTTGTTTAATTAGCCGTTTTCTATGCGTTCAAGTAATTACAAATAATTGATTTTTGGTGATTTGAGTGCAATATAAAGTTTTGTTTTGCTTAGTAATTCTGCCTAAAATTTCAGTTTTGATGCACTTGTGGGCGGGCCCCCATTTTCCACTTGAACACTAGGTAATAATTAATTTAAATTCTTTCTAGAATTTATATTCAGAAAATTAAAAATTTAATGGAAAAAAGCGGCTATTTGACTTGTGGCTTCCCATAAAGATTTGATGCAGTGATTACTGATTAATCCGTGATTATGAATGATTATTTCCCTTAGTCATTCATCATTGCTGAAACTTTATAGTTACCTGGGCTTTAAACTGTCTGAATGTGTTAAAATAAGTAAAATCACATAAGAGAATTTGATGTGGATGTCAACAAGTTGTAGCGGTACCCAAGACCGGAGATCAAATCTGTTCATTCTTCGGCTCCTTGTGTACCTTTTAAAAAGAAAGCTGTGAAATCTTATCAGTACTTTGATTGTTGGATTGTGGGAAGTGAAAATCAAAATGAAGCTCGATGATTTGACCTATTGGAAGCTCAAAACTATTGTTTATTTAATTTGAATCAACTTTGAGTCTTTGTTTCTCAGGCTCTTTGATTTTTGGGTTCTATTTACCATGGAGTGAGATTCACTGTTGTTTGGGTTTTGGATTGTTATGGACTCAAATCGAAAGGGGCATGTCTAATTATCTATTGTGTTGTTTTTTTTGTTTTTTTTTTTTTTCTCTTTTGTTTAGCTGTAGAACCATAGTTTGGTGGTTATTCTCTACTCATCCAATGTATATCGCTTTTCTGTGATCACAGGGGTAAGGCTGCATTTGTTCGACTCCTTCATCATGCTTTAGAGTTTAGACTTGATTAATGGTAATGTTGGTGATGATTTTAATGTGCATATCCAATACTAAATATAGAATTGATTCTTTAGATGTAACCAAAGATTATGAAAACCCAATTCTTATTGCGTTGTTTAGATTGGGTGGAAGTTATTAATGTTACATAATTATTATACTGGTATTCTTTTTGCAGCAATGCTTACCTCTTTTTCTCTATGCACTCCGCCCCTTACCCCATTAGAAAAGCGTATTAGTTTTCTAAGGAGCAGTCTTACATATCACAACTTAATTTTCAGGGCTCTTAAGATTTGGATACATCATGGGAAACAGCGAAGGGGAGAAACCAACAAGATCTGAGAAAGCAGCGTCTCCTCCTCGTGTGAGTTATAGTCTTGCTTGATGGAGATTTGTTAGTGATGTTTGGACTATTGAATAATACTATTAACTATATGCCGTTGTGGAATGAATTTCTTTCTTGCCCCACAGCTGTACTGTTATTACATATTTGGAATTTTCAATCTACTGTACGAAGCCTATAATTAATGCTACCTTTCATTCCTTCTTCTTCTTATGCTGTTTGAATTAACAGGAACAGAGTAGCGTTCATGTTTATCCTGATTGGGCAGCTGTTCAGGTTACATTCTGTTTAGATGACTAGAATTATTTTATAGGCCTTGCTCTCTCTCTTTCATTTCATAGAAGTGTGTGTCATTTGCTGCTTCTATAAGCTGGAAGAAAGTATGTTTGGAGTTTGTGTTTTTGCGAATATTGCTACTAGCTATATTGAGTTATTGATGTTTGTCGGTTGTAGGCATATTATGGATCAGGAGCTTTGCCACCACCTTACTTTAATCCAGCTGCTACATCTGGACATGCTGTTCCACCATACATGTGGGCACCACCACAAGTATTTGCATCCTCCTTATTCACCTTCCCCCCCCCCCCTCTTTATATGATTGAGGAAGCCCAAATCTTTATAAAAAAACACTTGATTATTTATCACTTTGTTTTTTCTTATTCTTTTGCTGTCTTGTTGATGTTTGGCTAGATGATGGCGCCTTATGGATCTCCTTATGCAATGTATCCACATGGAGGAATGTATGGACCTTCTGCTGCACCTATTGTGAGTTTGTCTCACCCTTTCTTGCTCTCTTCCAATCAAACACTTCTATAAATGACAAGCTACATAACGAGCCACTATCTATAGATCTTTTAGGTTATATGCTCGATATGTGCATCGTGTTTAACAACCTTGGCTTGTGTCTGCTTTAACATTTTGGATAAATGACCAATATAATAGAAGGTACGATATTCCTTTGTGGGATTAGAAATTGTCATTACACACATTAAATCTATTCATTTCTTTCATCACTTGATTAATCTTCGTCCAAACCATCCATATTGATATTCTTGAGCCGCATCTATATGTTTTCCTGATTAGGAGCAGTCAAATGCTTGATTTGTATCTTCTGAAAGCCAGATCAGGAATGGCACATAGATGATGCTACTTTATCTTAGTGTATGCAGATTCCAGCTCCCTTAAGTTTAGAAACTCCAACAAAATCATCTGGAAAAGATAGTGGTTCTGGAAAGGTGACTAAAGAATCCGATGTTCATGCAGCGTCAGGCAACGGCAATGCCAATGCTGAGAGTGCTGGAGATGCAGCTGCAGGTGTCCGTGGCCAGTCACTGAGGTTTGCCCTCAAATCTTTTGTTTGTGTTGCATTTTTCTGCTTTAAATTTTTGGATCAGAATTGATTGAGATGAACAATTCAACTATAGAATTTTTTTATTTTTTTTATTTTTCTTTCTTTAAAGAAAATCTGTCTTTAAGAGAAAGAATTAGTAATTAAATTTACACTGTCCCACCAAACAAGTTGAATCATTTGATTTTTGTTGTGAGGAAATCATATTGCATAGTTATACACAGGTTGCCGTTAGATTTGCTCATTTTGGTGTCACTTTCCAGAATTAGGATTTGGACTTGCATTTGAGAATGTTTCTGCCAATTGCAAACGAATGCTCGTATGGTATGAAGTGGCTACAGCCTACTGATGTGGGCTGAATGATTAGATTAATGTTATCATTCCCAGCACTATAATGCTGATTTATAGTTGCTATTTCTTCAAAAACTTTAGTCTGGTAGCGAGAGAATATTTCCAAGATATGGGCAGTGTTATGAGCCAAGATAATAAATTTCTTAAAAGCAAAATTGTAAATTTTAGTAGTAGTATGACTTGTATCAAAAATGCAAATGTCATTAAATTTTAACTTGAATTTGTGGACGTATAAGGTTTTCAAAATATTGTTAAAATGTTAAATTGCTTCTCATTATGCCAAAAGTATGATTCACTGCATTTTGCAAGATGTTTGATGAAAATAAATAAAATAATATCAAGCTCTTGTAAATGGATCTATAGCTTAGTTAACTCACTTAATAGATAAGTAAATAAACAGGCTGTGCTGAGCTGATATCCTGATCCATTATGATTGATGTACAGGTAGATAGTTTAGGTCTGTTTGTGTGTACATCTTGCATCACTCCATATACTTGACATAAACTATCATGTTTCTGGACCTGCTATTTGCGATGTAGGAAGGACTCCAAAATTGTTTGCATTGCAGGAAAGGTGAGGGGTAGCTCTTTGTACTTTTCTTTATGTGATGGATGATAAAGCACCAATCTATTGTCTGAGTCTGTTATTACCTTTCTCATTTATGATTCTTCCTAAAAATCCTATCTACTGAAGAAAATAATAATACTCCTTTGATCATGTTTTGTGTGTAGCACGGATTGTGGAACTGAAGGTTCTTGTGAGAGAAGCTATGACAGTTCGGCAAGAGTAAAGACACATCCTTTATTAGTAAGATTTCATTATGTCATTAATAAATGCTTTGAATTGATATATGTTTCCATTCCAGGAGGACAATAGTAGTAGAAGTTGTAATGGGGTACTAGACACAGGTAATGCATTCTAACTTATTTATCGGACTAACTACATAATCAGTAATTATATGAAGTTTGAATATTAGATTCGGAAATATAATGGTTTAGGCATGCATTTGTATGATCACTACTTCAGGTTTAAAAAGACGGCAATAGACATAGTTTGCCTTTAACTTTTGTATCGATTAAAATGTGATTAGTTTCCTATGTACTTGCTGGGAGGTAGTATACTCAAGTTATCGTGGAACATTTTGTTATTTGATATTGAAATTAGAATGTGGAATACCAGAGTGTATCAAGTGTATTGGTTTCTTCTGTAGTGAGTCTTTTGTGCCCTAGTTACTGTATTTCTATTACTGACTAATTTAACTGGTGGTCTGGCTACACGTGCTAAAGGTATGTGTAACATGCAGATGAACAATGTAGTTCCTGGCATCCCAATGGCTTCTGTGAATCCTGTGGGGAGCTCTCCCGCAAATGGAGTAAATTCTGCTGCCCCTTGTGCACCCCGACAGGTCCTGCACTAGCATTATGTTTCGATGTTTCTCCATGCTTGTGAAAATCTAAATTAACTAAATTTCGTTGCTCAGATAGTGAACATACAAAGAATATGGGTATTAATAAGATGCAGATATGCTCATTGACATACTTTGTAAGACTCGCGGGGTGTGGTTGGAGATTTCATACAGAAATGGAACATTAATTGATGTTTCGAAAGGATTTTTTAGTATGAATATGCAGTTGGTGGTTGGTGATGTACACGTATCCTATAGGAGAGTCATTCAGGCTTATACATATATATTACTTCGTATATACTAATTGGATGGAGATTGTGAGTGGCCATTTGGCTATAATCACCATTCTTTGGGTATCATATTTACCTTCATAATTGGTTATTCTACCTCTATAGCATTCATTATTGTTGAAATTTGCGAATAAACAAGTTTAAACTTTAAAGTAAGTTTTTTTACTCCGTAATTAATAAACTTGAAATGGCAAGTGAAAGCTTACTCGAGCCTGTCGAAATGATAGAGCAGAGAATTAATTTTGGGATTGCATTGTATATGTTCCTATAAAACTGCATCCTTGGGTATTCGGTTTAGGAGCGTTTTTTATTTTGCGACTGTCATGTTCCGTTTGATCTGATGCATTTGTGCTGTTTGAGATAATGTTATTGTAAAAGTCAGCTCAAATCTGAAATCTGGACTTTGGTTCTTATGTAGCATGTAACTATTGGCTGAAGAAATTGCGAAGAACTTTGCATAAGTTATTGATACTGGTATCTTAATATTTTTGCAGGATGAAAGGGAGCTAAAACGGGAGAAGAGGAAGCAATCCAACCGAGAATCTGCCAGAAGATCTAGGTTAAGGAAACAGGTTGATAATGATGAGCAAATAAGCTTCTGATTTCATCTTACTTTTTTTTTTTTCCGACTATTCATCCCTTAAATCTTATCTCTACTACTTTTTGCAGGCCGAAATGGAAGAATTAGGGAAAAAAGTTGATAATTTGAATGTTGAGAATCTGGCCCTTAGATCTGAAATAAATAAGTTGGTGGAAGATTCAGAGAAACTGAGATCCGAAAATTCTTCACTAATGGTAAATCCTTTCATCCTTTGTCGCCTCTTGTTGTCCATTACTCACTTTATGAAAAAATTTCACCATGCATTCAGAATTGTGTATGGTGTACCCATACTCGTATATTTGCACCACAAATTAGTGCATTGTTCAGGCACCAACTCGGTAAATGTTAATAGTACGTTAGAGAAGTGAATATTTTCTTTTCTGACATAATTTTTTCTGCTGTTTTCAATTTTGCTGTAGGACAAGCTGAAGATTATGCAGGGACAAAGTGATGAAATGGACTCTGAAAGGACAGAAAATCAAGAGACATCACATATTAATACTGAGAACTTGCTATCTAGAGTAAACAACCCGGTCTCCAATGGAGTGCACGAGCAAAGTGAAGAAAAATGAAACCCGTTGATGTATAAATAACTCAGTCTAGTCGTTTCCCCCCCCCCCCTCCCCCTTTTTTTTAGCCGGAGAGACCTCGTGGATATAAGCTGACCAAAGGACCAGTTTTGTTGTGTCCTAAAGAACTGTGACCTTAAATTATGGCCAGTAGACCAGTAGTTGGCACAAAACAGTTGGTAGCAAAATAGACAGGTTTTTAGAGTTTATGTAGTCACAATGTTGTAGACTTGTAGTCATGTTGTGTGTTCTTTTAGATGTAAACAAAATTGTATCCAGTTTGGTAGACAATTTTTTTTTTCGTGGGTTGTTTCATAAACTAATCACTAATTGAATGAATTTTTTGGATATTGTATTGTGCCTGCGAAGAGTTTACTAGTCTATGTTGTAACTAATGTAAGGTTTATCGCGCCATTGGAGGGATAGATGGTGCGTGTTTTGTCTTCACAAGGACAAATAATAGACTGAGGGAATTCACAATACTGACTATATGAGGGATGGTTATCAGCTTTATCCGATAAGTTATCAGGCTGGAAATTACTTGCCTATTTTATACCAAAAAACCATCCCAAAGTTGAAGACATCCATTTTATTTATTGATAGATCATGCAATGTGACATGGAGTATAGGGTTAAAAGAAGTTATATTGGACTTAATACATATACATTATGTAGTCTTTATCAACAATCATACTCTAGTATGTTGTCTTATAATGTACACACTCAACAAAGTAAACAGTTCATTGTGTTTGCGTAGACATTGATATGTAAACCAAACATATTCCGAAGATGTGTAATATTTCGATCTTCAGCATATAGTACTCTAAAATTGGTTAATATCAAGAATAAACACAACAGAGGATCAAGTAAGAGCTTAAAAATGCTCTTGCCTCACAAAATTCAATTCTTATCAACTTTAAACTTCATACTCTGTAGTTAGAGTTTTAGGAGGGAGCCCCATTTTATCTTCATGATAAACAAAAATCGTTTATGTAGTGGCATTTCTATAAATAAATCAATAAAATATCCCAGCATGATATTTTCGTAAATAAATCAATATTAGTATGACCCATATTTTTTATAAAAGTTGTTAGCTTATTTATAGAAATGTCACTAGATAAACGGTTTTTTATTTATCAAGATAAACTTGTATTTTCTCGAGATTTAGGGGTATTGTGATGAATTATTTTTGAATAATTTTTTAATTCAAATGACTGAGGTTTCTTTGTGGGTTACGATCTCTCTTATTCATCTAATAGAGGTCGTGCCGATTATAGACGATAAGATTTCAATTTTTGTGTTCTTTTTTTTAGTTAGTTAGTTTTTTTTTTTTGGGTGTTACCATTTTATTTCAATATTTACCCCGAAAGAAAAATGGTATTTTGAGCTCTAAAACCCTGAACCAGTAAACCTTCAGGTTGTCCTTAACAAATTCGTGAAGAACTAAATAACACAACAAAATTTCTTTCAAAAAAAATAAAAATAAATAAAACAACAAAATATCGGTGGATCTCTCTCCTAATTACCAACCAGGTACTCTTTCATAATCTCTCTCTTCTAAATTGTTCGATCTTAACTTACTTGAATGATATGATTTGATTAATTAACCAAACCCTAGCTCACTACTCACAAATTTACTGCTTTTAATTCATTTTAATTTGTCGAATTATAAACATTATCTGCTTCGCAATCCGAATTATTCAAGTTTAATGCTTTAATTTTTGTTCCTTCGATCATATACTCTTGACTAGAAATTTGTAAGCATTTTTTGGCTGATTTTTTTAGAAATTTGTTGCACTCTGATTAATTAAAATTTGATGCTGTAATGATTTTTGAAAAGTTCTTTTTTTTGTTCATATTTAAGACAAAGAATGACGAGAGGAACAATACCTGATAAATGGTCAATGAGGCTTCTTTGGCTTTGTGCTCTTGGAAGTGCAGTTGGTAATATGCTCTTTATTTATTTTTATTTTTTTCGTCCTATTTATTCAACTTTTTTGCTCTTGTTAATTTTAATTGAAAATTATACAGGTTTCTACATGGTTGCTGTGGAAAGGCAAACGCAGAATAGAGATAAGATGATGGCTGAATTGGGCAACATCGAATCGAGTGGCGGTTCGAGTGAGGATGTTTAGTTTGAATCAAGACTCAAGAGATATGCATCTTTGAGAATTTGTGTTGATTTGTTTTTTGAATAATCTGAATAGCAATTGAGACTTTTTTATGTTAATCAAAAGTTGGTTCAGTTTCGAATTCACTTGAAATTTTACTCTACAGCAGTGCCGTGTTTTGAATGATTCGGAGTTGTATCTATGTTGAGAAAAGGATTCTGTGTTACATAATTCATAAATAATTGGATTTGGGAATTCAGAGGGTAATTTTTCTACTCTTATGGTTTGAAAATAGTTGTCACATTGCGTTCCTGTCAAAATGTGCTTCAGATCCTTGTTTCAGATGTTCTTACATGACCAATATTGATCTGCACGTCATCCCCGGCCGATTCTAGAGAACCTGCAGGGATCTCTATATCAACCAATGCCAACCTGATATCGAAGAAAATTGGGACAAAGGATTTCATTATTACAACAGGTATTACAAGGTAATTCTACAGCTAAACTATAAGAATATACATGATACAAACACGATTTATGGATCCTATAGTCACAAGCCAAAATCATTTGCACCAAAAAATGCAGTGCTGAATTGTCTTGTATTCAAGTCACTAACATCGTAGGACCCGAAGCGATCAAGCCACTGAGTAGGGCTTGGGGTCTCAATTTCTTCCACCCATTCTGAAGTCATATCAATGTCATCAAGCTGGATTGGATCCAAGTCAAAAGCCTTGCTCCTAGGTCTACCTAACTTGAGGTTGTAATTTATGTAGACGAGATCGTTCAATGAGTCTTTGTCGATTTTGTTCCTCTTCTCGGAATGAATTTGCTGAAATGTACTCCATTGCTTGTCAAAGGTTGGAGTACTGCAAACCTGACTGAGGATTCTTATGGCTGCTTTTTGCAAAACTGGTGCTGAATCTCCATATTGCTCCCACCATTCTCCTGTAAAATATATTAGAACCCATTTAACTTCAATACCGTAGTAATACCTAAAAGATGAGCTTCAGCACACCCACAGGGCAAATGAACCACCCAGTTGATCAATTTTGCAGAAAACCACAACATTGCAAGAACACGATGTGAATAGGAAGGCAATGATGTAAAAATATGGGATTGGCCATTTGGGTATTGCAGAGGGCAATTCCTTGGCAAATGTCAAACGAAGTACTTAGCATGATAGATTGATAGCAGTAAAATTTCAAGAGTGGTGAATCGATACATACCAGGTGCAACTGTATCACGTGCTTCTTTAGCTAGGTTACAACCAAACATTCCAGTTGCTCGCTGGAACAAAAGAATTTGATTAGTGATATTGTGCCTTAACTCAGGTGTTGGAAGCAATTTTTCCAAAACATTGAAGAAGTCTTCTTTTATAGCAGCTAAAAACTTGACTTCAGGGTTATACTGGATGCAAGGATTCAAAAATGCTCCAGCTGAATGTAATGATGTGTGAAGCTGGTTATGCCAGCCCTTGTCCACTATATCTAAGAACGTCTTGCACTTGCCCTCATCCATAATATAATATGTTCGTATCGATTCTTTGGCCTTTGTCATCAGCTCATAAATGAACCCAATTGCAGGTTTACCGTCAGCTACTTCCCTCAGAATTCTTAGGAAGGGCTCAGAAATAGCAATGCATTCTTCAACTGCTCTCCAAAATTCATTATCATCCAAAATTGATGCACAGGAAATGCTCTGTTGTTTGTTTACACAAGCAGAGTTAACAGAATACTCGGCACTATTGACCATAAGCTTCAGCTTACTCCTTTGCTTAAACAATGGGAAAAATTGTCAAACTAAGCGTTTTTGGGAAACAATTTCCTAAACAAGACGCGTGGCAAAACTATTTACCAAACTAAGTTTCCAGAGTAAAACGCCAACCAGGATGGCGTTTTACCCTGGGCATTTTTTTTTTTTTTAATTTTTAGTCAAGGATAAAACGCCATCAAGGGTGGCGTTTTACTGCAGGGCAAATTTTTTTAAAAAAACACATTTACACAAAAACCCTAACGCCGTTGGCGTTTTACCCTGAGTGATTTTTTTGAAAATAATTTACCCCCCTAAAGCGCCACCATGGTTGGCGTTTTATCTTTGCACACAAACACAGCAACAGCAGCAACAACCACAGGAGCTGCAACAACAACAGCAACAACCACAGGAGCTGCAACAACAGCAGCAACAACAACCACAACAACTACAACAACAGCAACATCGACAACCCCAACAAGAGCAACAGCGACAACCCCAACAAGAGCATCAACAACAATCACAACAACTACTACAACCTTAACAACAGGAACCACAACAATAACTGCAACAACATCAGCAACATTAACAACACCAGCAACAACAACAACACCAGCAACCAATACAATGAAAAGAATGAATGCGTATGGTGAAGTTGATAATGTACAGAAAATGAACTAAAAAGGTTAGTAAAATTGATAATATTTATTTGGATACAATGTACTATAGAATCTGATTACAACTAACGAAAGAAGTTCTAAGATCCCGATTCATCTATTGTATGTAAGTGTTGTCTATCCAATCGCAGTCTTCTACGACGGTAGTACTGAGATACCGTTGTGAAAGGATCTGGGGCAGAGGTCTGGGGAGGAGTCTGTTGGCTGGAAGATGGTCCTTCCTGAGATGAGTATGGCGCGGACATGTGGATGGCGATATCTTCCTGATCATCAAAAAACAGGGGGGACCCTGTAGGGGACGTGTAAGTCTGTCCCCTACTACTGCTGCCTACCTCACGGTGTGAACGGCGGTGTGATTGGTCCCGGCCTTGGGGGATAAGATGGCCATGACCATGTCTCTGTAAGCTACTCACAGTCATTGCGTGAATGTCATCCAACTGCGGTATGGTGGGATATGATATGCTCAAGACTTCTAGTGCATCATGTATAGCAAGCATATCAGACGCCTGCATTAGTCAACAATCAGCCATTTTAATAATTAAAGAAACTATAAATTGGAGGAAAAGAAAAAATGACAAAAAAATCACATATCCACTGATGTCTCCAAAAGCTGGGTGGTAATGCGTTGAGGGTGGGGTGTAGTTAGGGTTGATGAAGCGTCGGGTAATGCTCCTGTACCATACCATGTATGGATCGTGATACTCCATCAGGCCTTGGACAGGCGCACCATCCGCGACGTGTTGCAGCCGCTGGTCCCACATGTCAATGTAAGGGGCATGCTGAACTGCCCAGTTAACCTCCCCCTTTCCTCGTCGGTCTGTCCTGTGCAACTGGACACTCGTGTCACACGGGGCGGGGATGGCTTGACAAAGGCCGAATTGTCGCATGACTCTGTCGGGGAGGTGAGCCTCCACCAACTCAAAACAGATGAGCACTATCATGGCACGCCACTCCATCTGGTGATCAAGAAGATATTGGGGCATGGCATCGACTAAGTGAGGGACGTACGGATCCCACGTCATCTGCATTAACAAGCAGTCGTTAACATCATAATTAACTTATTAAAATAATGAACACTGTGTTAAATTAGTTTTTAAAGTGAACTATAACCTGAGACTCGCTCAGTCTGTCGAATGCATCTCTATAATACGGCAGACCCCTTGCTGCATGCACACGAGTAAGTCTCCGCCCTAGCCACCTGATTACATGTATAATAACAGTGTTCATGACAAAATTAATAGAAAATTAAAACCATATGTGGATAACTTAACAATAAGTCATACATACCGGCAACCGTATGCTAAGTCCGGTGGTGGGTGTGGCGGCGCCTCATATGCATGCTCCTGATCGTCTTCCTCCTCCTCCTCGCGTCGACGCCTAGCAGGCATAGCTGGCCTACCAACGTGGATGTGCTCCCAAGACCATAACTGTAATAAAAAAAACAAAAGTTTAGTCTAGCCAATGTTTAGTACGTAATAGGTAGAAAATGGTATGAAAGTACAAGACTACCTGAAGCACAATCAAGGGACCGCTGATCTCCCATCTACTACGCTGGGATACTCTGCAAAGATGTCGATATAAGGTTACCAGACACGCACTACCCCAGCTGTAGTCACGTATACCCTCCCAGTTGTTCTCTAACAGCTGTAGGTAGATCAACTGTATGTGACTACCACTCTTGTTACTGAATAATGATCCTATCAACATGAACAGGTACGCTCGAGCGTATCTTTGGACGACCCCATCATCAGCATCAGGAGGCAACACCCCAAATGTCTCTCGTAACCATATGTGTCTTAACCCTGTGCCTCTAACATCAGTCGCCTCAGGCCTCACCCCTAACACCCTCTCAACAAGGCCACGAGGGTCATGTATAATCGGTCCTGTAACTGCCCTACCATGCACTGGGAGCCGTGTAAGTATCGCCACATCTCGGAGCGTGACGGTGGCCTCCCCAACTGGTAGATGGAAGGAGTGAGTCTCCTGTCTCCATCTCTCAACGAGCGCAGTAATAAGCGCTCGATCGATCGGTGTGAAGGCCATCCTATGAAATCCGCCGAAACCCACAAAATCGATGTACTGTAGCACACGGGGGTCGACCACCCAATCTACCACCGTGGTGGCAACGTGGTGCCTGCAAACCAAGCAACGTGCTGGATCACCCTGTACAAGAACAAAAAATAAATTGTTTGATCAGTGAACCAAATAAATGCCAAACACAATAAATATTTGGTAGATGAAAACTTATTATCTGCTCCCATATGTCACGGCTCCGATGGGTATCCTGAAGTGTCAGCACTGAAGGGTCAGCTGGTCCAGGGTCATGTCGTGTCTGCCCCTGATCCTGTCCCTCCATGATCTCTGTTCAGCGTACAATGTAAAACAAAAAGTCAGCTACATCCTACTTGAACACATACACACAACATGGTATAAAAATAATACATAAACTAACACCACTACCGGTCACCGTCCGTTCGAAAAGGGCAAGATCTCTTATTGTGTCCTTCCTGACGGCAACGACTACATTTGCTTGGTGGACGGTTTGTCTCATCTATTTCATTTCGTATACGCTTCGACGGTGGGCGACCGTGTCCTCGGACCATGATCTCATCAGGAATGATTTTAGGCCCTCTGTATGACCTCCACGTCGTCTCACAAGGAATAGGCCAGAATTGTGGGGCATAAGTATTTGCATACGCCTCTGATCGTAGGAAACTGTCCACCCAC